CTGAATATAAAGGAAGACCAAATATTTCTGTAGACTAAAGCAACAAATGTGAACTACTACCAAAGACGAGTGAATTACTCTAAAGATTTGAGTAAAGAATAAGATGTTTTTGTCTCTGTCTTGTCTCTGAATGTGGAAAACCTAAAAATTATGTAGCTTGTGTATCAAATTATGTATTTAATGGAGGAAGAACATGACGCTATTAATTTCTAAGTGTTTAAGTCTGCAAAGTATTAAGATTTAATATTTTGAGCTACTACAATGACTTGCTTGCTCTGACCACTCGCACCATTATTAGTCATGGATTAGACCCAAACAGGACTATTATATGACATTAAATTGCAGAAATGTGTTTCAAATCTGCATACGTAAATGACACTGCCACTTGCTACTGTGACTGGACTGCCAGATATCTTTTGTATTCTGGTCTGATTTTTATGACTTATTAGGGGAAGCTATAATGAATAGCCATCTCCATTCTTTTTTCCAAGGAAAATTTCATATGGAATACTAAGAAGGCAGAATACACACATGCATCTGCACTCAGAAAAACAGGTTATTGCTGCTATGCACTTAATTAAGAAACATCCTGGTCAAATACAACAGGTATCTCACATATACATATCTGAGACATCTCTTTTGTACCTGTCGTCTGGTCTCCTTTCTTTCTCCATCCCAGAGAACAATAATTCTGTAAACCAATGTAAATCTTACCACTCATAAATCACTGGAGAAGGGGTGTGTGATTGTTAGTAGTTTTGTGTGTGTGCAGGAATTTTCAGGTGAAGCTCTATGAATGTCAGTAGACAAATTAATGGTGTGGTTTGTTAAGTTTCTCTGCAATTAACTACATGCTGCTGTTGAAACACAAAGTTATAATTTAATTTTTTTTCCATTTTAGTAATAATTGAATCACTGAGAGGCCTACCTCCAATAAATGAGGAAAGTATAATTTTTAAAGAAGATCGGCAAGCAGCAGGAAAGGTGTGTGTAAAGCATAAAAACCTGTTATTGTAATATAAAATTAGAAGTATTATTTTATGTTCCAACAAGTATTGTTGAAGTCAACTAATGAAAGATAACTTTTCCTTGATAACGTACTTTTTCTTTGTGCTTTGGGCTCTTGCTATAGTCATCTATTTTTTTCAATCTCAAGAGTTCCTAACCTGAAATTCATTGCTTCCTTACAGAATTACGGTGTGTGATGAGTTACTGCTATTTATGAGAGTGCTTGTGGAGAGGGAGAGGTTGCTTTCAGATGTATGGCGTCTTGAATAACAGGCTGTGCTCTTTTATTGCCAGGAGTTGGGGGCAAAGATTGGAGAAATTAGAGTCGAGTTTCAGAAAAAAATGGGGAATGTTTACATATCTATGCTCTGCTGTTCCAGTTTAAGGCCAGTGTGTGCTTTATGCAAGTATAATGAAGAATGTTTGCGGAGAGGGGTGTTACATTGAATTTTTGTACGCTTTTGGGGAAGTAAAGCAATCATCTAGAATGATTACTGCTGTAATATCTTTGAATACTAGATGTGAGTGGAACGAAAAAACTCAGGCTGAAATTGCAAGTGTTCTGTACAACATTTCGGGATTCTCTGCTCTCCACAGAACTGGGGAACAGACAGGGCAACTGATATAAAGGCATCTTGTAAAGATGAACTGGCAATTGTTCCAGGTTTTTGGAATTGTTCCAGGATTTGAAAGCATAATGTAGAGAGAAGAACAGAGATTTAACAAAAGGAAAGATTACTAAAGTAGAGGAAGCAGACAGTGAAAACAGTGCAGTTGGGTGGGTGAAGACAACATCAACGCGTGGGAACTTACTTTTCCACGTTATAACTTAAACAGTAGCTGGGGAAATGCACTGTCAAACAAAATGCGGTAATAAAACTGAAGCATGAAAGTAACTTTATTTGTTAATGCATTTTGAAAATATATCAAACTTCTTAGAAACAAAGCATCTTAAAGCCTCACAGTTATCTACAATGAAATTAGCTGTCTGTTCCTGTTTGTTTACTTAAACATTTTAATTTTGTTTGTGTTTCAGATATTTGAGATATTTGGTCCTGTTTTACATCCCTTTTATGTGTTAAGATTTAACAGCTCTGAGCATATCAAAGCAAAAGGTATTAATGTGCAAGATAGCATGTATTTTGCACCATCAGTGGAGGACTTCACTCAGTACATATTTGCAGAGAAACTAAAACAGTGAGTCTGATTTCTTTTCTAATCTAGTTCTAATGTATTTTTAATATAGCTAAAATACTGGATTAAAATTTAGCCTTGAGCGAGAAGCTGTAGGACTAAGCTTGACACTAAAACTTTTATTTTTTTAGATATTCTCAACTGTGTTTGTAATAACAAGGTTGTACTGTTTTGCCTTTCAGAACAGTACAGAGTAGCTGTAAAATACAAGCTTCTAAAGTGTTAATTACTAAAGTTTAGTAGCTTCTTATTCAATTTAATGTATTAAGCTTGCTGTCTTTTCATGTTGTTGTTACCTAAAATATCATAACCAGAAAAAAATTCGTTGATGCTTCCTGACACCCTCACACACATACACATGCAATGGTTTTGCAAGATGAACTTTCCTGATTGTGTTGTTACTCAGATTCTTGTTTAATTTAATGACTTATGATAAACTTGTTTGATTTCTGAAGAAGTTTGTATTTCTTTACTATTTTTATTTAATGTTATAAGACCAGAACTGAAATTTAATTGTCAATGAATCTGTTGTGCCGTTGGAGAATAACAATTCTATATGAAAGTTATGTCCTGTAAATTTGGGAGAGGGGAAGGACTGAGTTGCAGTGTAGTATGATGTTCAGAAATTTCTCAGTAGTGTTTGTGTGTCCCAGTCTGCCCAGGAAAGTAGTATGTATGAATAGGACTTGTTGCCATTTAAAAGAAAGTGTACTCGAAGATACAGAATAAGAGATAAAGAATGATAAATGACTGATAGACATTAGTGTTCTAATTATTGATGAATGATCGTCTGAAATAGCTATAGCTTAAAAAAATACTGTATCGTAGTCTGTTAGGATTGGTTCTCTTCTGACTTGCAGTTTTTTTCTGACTATAGCCAATAATATCAGTGGCTGCATTACTTGCAACTCTGTGAGTATTCATACTGAACAAGTTTTTTCTTTATGTCATGCATGTGTGGCCAGGCCTGCAGCAGTCTTCCCCTCTCAACCCCCCATTTCTGTGGAAGCAGCAAGCATATTTTTTCCCTTTCAGTGAAGACCAAAATAGATCACTTTCTTGCTCTGCTGCTTGTTTGCTTTCCTGCAGCATTTTGGTGCCAGCTGGTCTTTGATTTGTGCCGTTAAACTTTGTTGCTTAGCACAGTAACTCAACAGACTTTAATCATCGGCTTGCTACATCAATAACTCTGTGCCGTGCTCAGCATCTGAGACATGAGACTCATGTTTTAGTTTGTTACGTGCTTTGCCAAATAGTTTTGGGAGCTAGTTGTTTTTTTGGTAGTACTTCACGATTGCATATGGTACAAAATTGAACACTAGGTAAGATGTTTCACACTTTCATGAGTTACCAGTGCAGCTGAACAGTGCATGAGACATCATTTCTTGCCCTGTATTAAAATGAGCAGTGTGAGCATCTGTGTAATGTGACGTAAACCATAATTTCTGAATAATGTGACTTTTTACATTTCACTGAAACAATTTTATTTCTGACTTTTGTCAGTAAAGTTTCTTAAGCTTTTGTGAGGCAAATGGTACTATTTGTTGAAGCTGCCTTTTCACAGAGTAGGTGTAATTGAAAAAAAATAAAGAATTTTGATTCCTGTTCTGTGCTGTAATGTCTATATAAAGAAACCAAGATGGCATGGACAGTAGAAAAGTTCAGCTTCAGTCAGTGCTTCCCAAAAAGGCTTTGGGACTTGAGCAGTTTGCAAATTTGATGACCAGTGGTTTTTATTTTCTGCTTTTGTTAGTTTGACGGTGTGCAGGATAGCTTGTGCAGTATTATAGGCTTAAAGTTTTAGAACTGCTACTCAAAACTATGATGGTACTTTGAAAAGGAAATGAATCAGGATTAAGATCTGAAAGAAACCTTAGGTTTGAAGCTTTTTCTGAAATCTGGCATGCAATCTGCTTGCATTGTACAAAGTTGCAGTGCTGTGAATAAGCCTTACACTTTATAGCAAAATAAATGAAAGTGTAATGTAAAACTTCTTGAATGCAAAATAATTTGTTGCTAAAAATGGACTTCTTGTATTGCCTGAAACACCAAGTAATTCCGAAGAAGCTCATGTATTTTCATGATTCCTCTGCATCACCTTTTGTTAGACTTCCAGATCTTAACAGTATCTGACTTCAGAAATGAAAGAATTACAGTCTTGTTCTTTGCAGAAGATTATTAAGTATCTCAGAGCATGAAAAGTGTTTTGTGTTCTGCTGAAATGGGGAAGGCTGCCTTGAGAAAGTGAGATAAGCTGCCTGAAAAATTTAGGAGGTTTAAATTTTGCAGTCAGTAGTACTACATACTGCCTAATGACCACAGGTCTTGGAGTTTCTTGCATGCTCTGGTATTTCTGGCAGGCATGTATTGCCCCAAAAATAACAAGATGACAAGGGAAAACAAAGTTGGTTCATAATAATAATAATAACAATAATAATAAATAATGTTACTTTTCATCATTGCACAGGTAGAGAGTTTTCTGCAGCTGAGAAATTACTCATATAGAGCCGTTATCTTCCTTTCTTTGCTGTAACATTTTCTTCAAATTGAACTTTAAAATGGCTTGCTTGCTCATGTGATTTGCTCATAATCACAAAGGTGGTGTGTCTTTATGGTTTTCTAGTGATATGTAGAGATTGAGCTTCAATTTTATGGTTAGGGGTTAAGGCACCAAAGTACACCCCGCTGCCTTACCAGTGTTCTCATGGGCAGCCTTTTGACTAAGGGCCTCCTAAGTCCAGGCTGCCTAGAGCTGACGGGTATGTACTTCAGTGTAGCTATGACTGCTTGATTGTTGCTGACTTGGTGAATAAATAAAAAACCCCTTCATTATTAGACCACTGATTGAAGACATTTCACACTGGACACATGGGTGTTCTTAACTGTGTGGTTCCATTTTGCAAATAATAATTTTCAGTATTTCATTATTTTTCAAGTGACATTGTAGTGAAGCCTTAGGTTGACACATTCATTACTATTCGCTTACAAACAACATTAAAAAAGAAAAGCCCCTTTTAAAACAGGCAGCTCCTGGAGTTGGAGATATGATAACTTGAAGGTGTACAGTACAGTTCTTACAAATTATTTCTAACCTGGAATATGTTGCTACTATGTCACTCAAAGAAGAGATGTTTCATAGTCTCCTTTACACCATTTCCCTTCATCTTGAATGTCTAATTTGTGTTTTTTGTGGTTGTTTTTTTTTTTTCTTTTAGGGAAAAAGGTTCCGATGCATCTTGGAAGAATGATCAAGAACCACCACCTGAAGTAACTATTGAGTTTTTTGTTTATCATTTTCGATTACACGAGATAGATGCAGAAAAATTTCTGTGCAGAGTAACTAATTAGCAAGCTTGCTTTTTTTTTTACTCAGACAAGAGTTGGATGTACCTCTTTTCTTCACTGAAAAGAAGGTCATGCTTTTCTTGGAGAGGCTTTACAGCATAGAGAGTACTACCTGTCTTTTTCTACTTGCTTTTTGCAGTTGGGAAAATGTATATTTTTGTCTTCAGTTCCTCTAGTCCTTCAATAACATGTTTGGCAACCTGAATGTTCGTCTTTGAGTGACAGTGCTTTTAACTTGCCTAATAGTTTTGCTTCTGTTAGGGAATTTTTGTCCTTGCTGTTCTTTCACTGCCGCTTTGTTTTTTACCTTGCCACAAGCAGTTGTTTGTCTTTAAAGGCCTGCTAGTACTCTGTGAACTGTAGTACATGGGTGTTCCAGCTGTCTGCTCTGTTAGATTAACTTAACGCCTTCTCTGTTGCTTTCTTTGAATGGCTTCTTAGTAAGGTTTCCTTACTGTTTCCTATTACAAAACACTAGTTTCATGAGAGGATCTGAGCTTCTTCCATACCAAGGCATTCATACAGGATTCTGTAGGAGTGAAAGCTCCTCCTGACAATTGACATAATTTACCTTAGGATCTGTAAAGATATCTTCAGTGACATCCAAGGTTCCCATCCAGTGCCCCTTAACTCCACTCTAATGATACTCTTAATGACTATTCTTCAATAAGAATTGTAAGGCTGGTAGTTTTTTTGAGGTGTTCTCATGAGATCTCTTTTCTAGCTCAACACTTGAGTCACTTCTTGCAATTTCTACTTTAAGCATATCTTATCCAAAATAGCTGAAATTCCTAGAAGCTTGTGTCTACCATAGCATCCTAAAAAGATCTCTCCATCTGCTTGTTTTGAATCTGCCAAAAAGCGTGCATGGTTGGCATAGTTTTATGTACTATGTGTACTAAGTACTATGTGCTTCTTACTCTATAATTAAGTAGGAAAGGTGTGTTTTGTCTTTTTTTTTGTTTGTTTTAATGTTCTAACCAATTTTTAGAATAGAATAGACCATTTCAGTTGGAAGGTAAATTGTCCAGAAGGATGCTGTGAGAGACAGTATCATTTTTTGTATTCACAGTCCTTATCCCGGGCTAGTTGTTCTGCCTTGAAGTAGAGATGTTGTGACATGAGTTTTTCTATGCTTGAAGATAGGTCCTGTAATAATGTATCAGCCTGTCAACCCAGAAAGTTGCTTTTTCCACTATGGTGAGGATGATGTGTTTTGAAATACTTTTTTTTTCCTCCTACAAAAGGAACTGAGCTGAGCAGTGTTAACTTATCTCGAGGAATTCTTATCTGTCAGTTCTGACTGTAAATTGCCTTCCTTTCTTGGGGAGACATCACAGAACCGTGGAATCACCATTTGGGAGTTAGAAGTGTTGTATAGAATTGGACTATAGCAGTGTGATCAACAGACCTTTGAGTGATTGTGTATAGTTAGAAACTTTTGGTTAGTGTTATTTTTTTTCATTGAATAATTTTCTAGTGATGATAAAAATGTGCTTATTGGCTAATGGTGAGTTCTTTTTTGTTTTAGTCATATTTTTAAAGCTTTTCAGGAGATAAGCTTGTAAATGTGTAATTTGAATTTTTAATAACCTAAGTAACTTTAAAATTTGACTAAATATAGTCAAGCAGTCAAATCTTCTGCAGATATAGATTCATTGCTTTTTCCAAAGTTGGTATTTATTTTTTTATTATTTTTCTTAATTTTAATTATCATATTGTTACCTTCAGGTTAGAATCTGAAAGTACAGAGGAAGCTTTCACTGTAGGAAGGAAGGAGGCTTGAATGAAATCAGTGATGGCCAGGATGGGCAAACTTGATTGCTTTTTGTGACACCTTTGTTTCTGTGGCTGGTTTGGCTTTGTGATGTGAGTCTCTATGCTCTGTTTTGGAGAAAGCACCATGTCTCACATCTTGTAATCCTTACTTAGAATAATCTTTGGATAAGTCTAACAGTTAGAGTTTACACTAAGATATCCAAACTGTGACAGCTGATAAGCTGATAGACAGTAGCTACAAGGGTGCAGGTTAAATTTTATTGTAGTGATGCTTGAAATTGTCTCTTGCAGACAGACTCTTTTAGAACCCTCAGCTGGCAGCTGATTCTGTAACTTTTCTGGGCAGCTCCTATGGTAAACTGCATGCAATTGCTGGAGTCGGTTCTTTTTGTGATACTGTGGAGCTTTATTTTTTTTATTAATGTGAAATTAATCCATGTTAGCCCTCTTATGCTTGCTACTTTAAGGTATATGGTAAGTGTTCCGTTTCTGACAGGCTTGTAATTAGCCTAGCTTAACTGTAGACTCGGTAATACAGCGTCTCTCTCTCGGACTTGTCTTTGGGGTTATAGGATGACAAAGTGGGATCTGTATGCTGCAAGGCTAGGAGGAGGAGATAACTGTGATTTCTCTGTGAGATGGCTTTTATGGAATGTTACATCGAAATTAGCTAGCAACAGAAGGTACCTGTTTGTTATTTCTGCTCTACTGGAGGATGGCGTATTGATGTCCTTAGAAAAAGCAGGAGTTAGTGAAAGATTTTATTTCATGGCATATGTCAACTTTTATGCTTTGTGGCTTTCTTTTGCGTAATCCAGTTATATAGAGGAAATAGTTGCATTCAAAATTAACTTTAATGTGGCTTTTTTAGCACTGTTTTAGTGCAGCATTTTTGAGATCTGTGCTCTGTATATACTGTGGAGATGCATCAGTAAGCAGTAAAACCCTGCCTTTCGGAATTGGGAAAGGGAGGGTGGGAACAAACCCCACACCTTTATGTCATGTGAGCAAGCTGTTTTTCAGGGAACTGATTGCATTGACAGATTTCTTTCCTGTCGCTAATAACTTCTCCTCATTCTAAATGTAAGCTAGGACTCAAAACATAGCAAAACCTTGTGTAACTGGAACAAAATGTTGCAGTGATATTGAATCTGTTGTAAATGACATTTTTCAGAGCTGAATATTCCTTTGGAATAATATTGCTATTGCAGTTTTAATGGGAACAGTGTTATTGAATATACTACAGAAAATTCCAATTTAGTGACAATTTTAGACTAGAGGTATTTTTTTAATGTAATTTAACTGTGAGTTAAGTATTGGTCACTAAATTAACTTATTTTAAAAATCCATATTTTAATTTAGTTAGTGTGCAGTTTGTCCTTCAAAAGCTTTTTCTTGGCAATAACTAGGCAGCTCCCTTAGAGATTCCCAATTTTTTTCTTACATCTAGGCAATCAAAACTTTGTGTTCGGTCCTTGAATGTTGCTGTTTTTAGGAAAATTAGAAGGAATAACTGAGTATTGTATAATTGTCTTACGAAAAATTTGGGGAGTGTTAAAATTTTGATTCTGTTGAAAAGCCAGCTGAACACATGAAGGCTGTTCAAATGCAGAATAGGAAAGTGCAGTTCTAATATTCTTCTAAGCTGGCTACCGGATGGCTTGTTTTCTGAATAATTATTTATTGCTAGAACTGAAGTTCTCTCTCTTTTTTTTTTTTATCAGGCCTTGGATTTCAGTGATGATGAAAAAGAAAGAGAGGCAAAACAGAAGAAAAAGAAGCCTCAAAGTCAAGGAAGGAAGAAACTCAGATCAGAAACAAATGTATCAAGTGAGTGAAGGCTATGGGAGAATGTTTTAGCTGTTAAACTGAGTTTGAAATAGACAATGGTTTCTATCTTAATGATTGAGCTTTCATGTGGTTAATCAGTATTCCTCTGCTTTTCAAAGTTGAATTTGTGGCTATGTTCCTTAATTTTTTTTAGAAGGAAGTTTAAGTTTTTTCCATTAAACTGAAGGAAAGTAGTCAGAGCAGGACAGTTATAAGAGGAGATTCAGTCTTAAAACAGTGTCAGCTAACACACAGTGAAGATATAGAACAGATGCCACATTTTGGAGCTTAGAGCTTGGTTATTGCAGGGTCTGTTGGGGTCTGAATTCAGGTTAAGCCTTTGAGTGCAGGGAGAAGATACAGGAGGGCCATGTGGAGATTTTTGGAAACCCATTTTTTTGACAATCGGGGAGAACACACAAGTCTTAGATGGAGAATTTATTCCTCTATCTGAAGAGGAAGCTCTTACTCACCCATGGCAAATAAATACTCCTTTAAAATAACTGTTACTTGTGTAACTCCTGAGAATCTCTGTTTGCCTAACATGGCCATTAGTTAAACAAACCTATAGTAGTTTAATAAGCTATGTATAGTTTTTCATAATAAACATAGCCTTCTTCACCTTCCTTTCTCCTGCTGTTGACAGATCTGTTCCAAGTGTATGCTTGCAGCTGTTCTGTTTGCAGTAACCAAATTTTCCAGTCTGTCTTTTCCTCATGCTTCTCTACTGACAACTTTTTGCTTTTTGGTTGCTATTTTGGTTGAATAATTTAAGTTGCATACCTCTTTTACCTCTTTCTCTGTTCTCCTGATCTGCTTCTGTTGAATGCTTTTTGTAGCACTCCTTTATATACTGACTCTCATCCTCTCCCCTCTTCTACTGTTTACATATCAGGTAGTTTCAACTGTTTGCAGCACAGTGCTTCCTCCCCATTGATTTTCTTGGGCTGGGGCTGTCCCCTTCCATGAGTTTGCTATTCTTCCTTTTTGAAGCTGCTAGACATTGTGCCCCACTGAACCTCTTTTATCTTGATATGGGAAGTCAGTAACTGTCCTGTTCTACTCTGTGTGCAGTACATCCCTCCCTTGTACCCTTTAAATAAATCTGTGATCTTTCTTGGACTGGCTTTTGCCCTGTGGTTTTGACAGTTCTCCCTTAAGGGAAGGATCTGAGTTGTGCCATACTTTCCCTTCATTGCTGATGGTTACTTTCTGTCCTGGGTTCTGCTTACCTATCATATGGCATGTTTTCCAGCACATCCTTATTCTGCCAGTTTGTTGCAGACCTGCCTTTGCCTAGGGCTTGCTGAGGCTGTTACTGAGATACATGTTCCGTAACTGAGAACACAGTGGAAGGAACTGTCTCAGTCTCTTAAGGGAGTTATGGGTTATGATTTGCTGTGTTTTCTATAAATGATGTATCCATTGACATTGTGTGCTATTTGGTTTGGCTACGGAATTCACCAACAGGGGTATCTGGCAAATTGAGGCACAAACTCAGTATCAGCTTGAGTTTTGCTTTGTTGCATCTTCATAAAACTCTGATGATATTAAAATTGGCTCATTGTACGCTTTGATAGGAGAAGAAAAAAATACTCACCTAAGTACTTTTCAATTCAGTCCTTCTTGGAGGCCTGCATGCACCAAATGAATCTTAAGTCCTAATTCCCCTTGAAAGTGGGCAGGACTTTTGGTATACAACTAGATTTCCGGACTTAGATCTTCAAGTGTGAAATGTAAATGTGTATGTAATCTAGTGCTGAGGATTAGGTCCACATAGGTTCTTAGAATTCAGTGCTTTTATGTGGTGTTATGTCCCTAAATACCTTTTTGCTTCTAGCCCTAAAATCTTTTAGAGATAATGTTTCAGTTGAAATTCTACAGCCTTTTGAATATGTTAGCAGCTATTTGGAACATGTTTAATATTTCAGTGGTCTTAATTTTATAGCACTTTTCCCATTAATACTCGTAACGTATTTATATAAAAGTGGCAGTGCATTTATTATAAACCCTAAATATGTGCTTGCAGTGAGGTGTACAACGAAAAATTCATCTTTGAAAAATGAATATTGAAAGCTAATTGGCTAAAGGTACATGTTGCCTTTTTTCTGATAAGAGTAAGATAATTTTGCTCATTTGAGTTCGAATAATTTCTTGTGCCCTGTATCTGTGCTGTAGTGCAATGCAGTGTTGATTTATCTTCAGTTTTAAAGTGTGTTGTTTTTAAATATTCTTTTAAACCGAAGCTTCCAAAATACTCAGTTTGAGCATTCTTGTGTTTCATTAATACAATTGAAAATGCCTGGAGGGAAAGAAAGTGAAATTTATTTTTCAATGACTGAATTTGCAACCCTCAGGATCATCCTTTCTATATTACTCTAATAAATCAAGATGAGTTACTAAACAGTAGACTTGCCAGTATTATTTTGTTGTTTATATATTATTTGCCAGTATTATTTGTTGATAAGATTACTTTTCAAATTTTCTTGGCTTCAGCTTGAAAGATTTTTGAGGACTGAATGTAATCTTTCCAAAACAATATTAAAACTCTGTGTTTTGGTTTTGTTTGTTTGTTTGTTTGTTTTTTGAGGTGAGAATAATGGACTTCATCAGTTAATGCAACAGCCTTCTTCAAGTTATTCAAAGGGATACCGTGGCAGAGGGTTCTTCAGGCATCCATTTCCTCCTCCATCAGGCTCTCCGGATTTTTTGAGACCACAAGTAAGACCTCCACAGCTGTACTCTTCAGACAACAGACTACATCAGGAATCTCCAGTGTTTCCACAACCTCATCGAAAAGAAAATCCAATGATGCAACAGTATCCCTTTCCTCCTCCAGTTTTTGGTTCTGTTAATGATGTCAATCAATTCTACCTTCCGCCTTCAAATCTGAATATGATTTGTACAGGCCCAAACATGTACAACTCATCATACCCATTTTTACCACTTCCACCACCACCTCCTCCACCACCTCCTCCGGATAGCCATCCTTCTCAGTTCAGGCCTTGCTAAGTTTCCATAAATGTGCATAAAGAGCCTTGCAGTTTAGAGGGAGGAAGAACAGGCTGCCAAGACTGTATTCCCTTATTTTGGAGATACTTCATTTTTCTGCATCAGTAGATCAAATGCAGAGTTTGGTTCTTTGTGGGACATCTATAGGAAGCTATTTTTTCATATATGTTTTCTGTTTCAAAGAAGAAAACTGTATGATAAAAATAACTGAATATTAAATAATGGTTTATTTTTATAATATCTTCCAGTTTGGGATGATAAATAAAAACTTTTTGTAGACTGGTGTGTAGTGGTGGAAATTATTTTGTAATAAGTGTAAGAGTAGCTATGTAGCTACTATCTAATAGTGATGAGGATATGTCACATAGATGGTATTTTAATATTTTTGGAGTGGTTGTATATTGCTATGGTAAAGCATTTTTCTCAATTTCTGCAAAATTTGAAATCTGTTTCCATAGAAACTGAAAATCTGACACCTAAATTTTAAGCTAGGTTTGCCACTATTTATATAAGGTATAAACTCCTGTTATCCAACTTCTAATATTTCATTACTTTCATATTAACGAGAAAACTGGAGCTGGATGGTCTTTTTTTTAAGTAGCTGGAGGAGCTAACTCAGAATTTGGACCAGCAGCTGAATTACTTTTGTCAGATTCAGTGTCCTACAATAGCTATAGAAGATCAGCTTATTGGTTAGTTGTTTTGCAATTAATTCTAGGATGTGAAACTGCATGGTATGGGGAGATTGAAAACCAGCATAACTCCTCTAGCTTGTCTTTGCTTCTAGTGGAGAAATGCTGATAGATACATACAGTATGTAGCCAGGCTTTCTAGGAAGAAGTCGTCAGACCTGTCAGGGAGAGAAAGTTCTGAAGAACTCCCTTGTTTTAATTTGTATCCAAAATGCAGGTACTACTAGATTGCTGTTTGGTTGTCTTTACAGTCAAAACTGTCTCTTTTGAAATTACAAGGTTCATCAACTCTCCCAGCTTGTTTCTGGGAGAGGGGTGGAATTGTCAACTAAAGACAGTCTGGAACAACCTCCACATGTCCAAAAGGTCAGTCCTACAATTGCACCTCCTTGGTCTCTGTGGAAGTGGCTCTGAAATGGAAACCCTTACAGAAGATTTTAAAAAGAGGGGGTGGGGAGAAAAAAAAGTATTGGCACAGAGACATCCTAAAGATGTTTTCTTTTTTTTTCCCTCTGAAAAATCATTACTAGTTGTAATGATTTTTGAATCACTAATCAACAGTGCAATCAGTTTGAACCATTGAACAGAACTCATAGAAGTGTGCAATATGTATTTCTGTTCTCAAATTCATATTGGCCTCATTACTTTGGATATGTATTTGAAGGCAGATTAAGCTCTGCAGTTGTTGCTTAAGACTTTTATTTCCAAATAAGAATTAAACAAAAGTTTGATGCACAGAGGATCTCAAATGTTATGCCAAACAGGTACTGTACAGTGGCAACTAACTGTTTTGGAACAACATTCCAGACATTTATGTTTCACTCATTCTTGCAGTTTTTTGTTGTTGTTGTAAAAAGAATGTCCAATTCTAGTCTGTTGTAAATGCTTAAGTTTTGGGGAAAAGGGGTTGAATTTCTGGCTGAGTTTAAGCCCAGCTGTTACCATTGCTCGTGGTAGGTCACAGGTGTGAGTAAATTCAATGCAACCTCATAACTGAGGCTTAGCAGGTTTGCTTTGTCTGAGCTTCCCTTGTCTCACCTGGAGCTTTCTTTTTACTTGGTTTAGCTATAACAGCAATGTATTCATGACCAGGTGTGTGTATGATTAATTTGTTTTACATGTACTTTTTTTTCCTAGGGTGTACACATAGGTTTTTATATAGATGGCAGCGACAAGTAGTTATTCTCTGTAGAATGGGGTAATTGTGAGTTTAATGGAATAAGGTAGTGTAGAGGAATAGAGACCTGACATGATAATGGAAGCCTCAAGTGGTAGCGCAGGATGCAGTGTAGAGGAGTACCTGGGATGGCAAGACATGGGGCATGGGTTGGCAATGGACACCTGGGTTGCAAATTACTCTCTGCTGGTAAGCTGAAGAAATGCAATCCTGTCTCTAAACAAAACCTGGTTTTAGTATAAAGGAGAGCAAAAATATGTAACACATGTAAAATGCACCACATACAGTGAAATTGGATGTAATTGTGAACACGCAGACAGATGAAGAAAGAGCAAGATGTTACAAGTTTGTTATCAAACATAAAAGTGATCTGACATTGATTGTAGATTAAGGAGAAGGAAACCGTCAATGTCATACTCGGACTTGAGATGCTGATGACTTGCTGTATATACCTGGCACAAACGGACGCTGTCAGCCTTGAGATCCAGAGGGGGGCAGTTGAAGGGTAAGCATAACACCAGGAAAAGGAGGGAGGTAAATAGGAAGTGTTATAGTTGAAATTGTTGTACGTACTGTTGTTGAGACCGTTTGGTTTTTTTTAATGGATAGTGATGTTCATGTTTTTCTGTAGAATTGGATCTGGAGTAATAACAGGTATTTGATTAGACTGCTAAGATACCAGTTATACTAAGGTGTATCCTCTTTTCCTGTAACAACATTTTGTGTATAACAAAACCCACTATGACATCAGGTTACAGAATGTAGTTTGACAGAAATTTATTATGGTCTAGTCTATTTTATTAATGCTTGGTAGTTAACTGCAATACTGGCTTTGTGTGCACAGGTTTTTTACATCAAAAGAAATTCTGCGGGTGTTCCGCGTTTAGCGAGTACAGGTCACACTCTCAGAACTCCGTTTTAGTTCTGCATTATGAAATCATTTGAGAGTTAGGTATGATTACTAAGTTTGAAGTATTTGGAGGATTGATTTCCTTGCCCCAAAGTAGTGTGTAACACCCAATGTTACACTGAAGAATAAGCATTGTAATAGATTGCTAGAGTAGCACCTTAATTTGAAAATAGAGCTACTGTAACTCTTTTTTAGAAAAAACTTGAATGCAATTATCATTGATTATTGCGTTTCCTCATAAAGCTGTTTGTAGTCAGTAGTGTTGCACAGATACTGTCAGACCCTGTGTCGGTGTGCTGGATGCTTGCTACTGAGACAGCAGTAACTTGGGGAGATTAGAACCTGAGGTGTATTTGCAAGTTCAGCTGTTTGGCAAAGGAAAATAAAACTGGGTACACATGATAGAAAAATTAATCTTGTGGGAATACTTCTTTTGTATCTTTAGCTCTTTGTAACAGTTTTCCCAAGCTTTACGGTTAAGGCATTACTGGCCTGACAATTTTAGCGGCAAGAAAAGCTAGTTTTGTTTGGTCTCAGCTATTTTTATGTCAAGCTGTTACTACGTTACTGTGTTAGACATGTTACTACATTAAAGTGTTAGAGCGATATGCTAAAATAGAATTACAGTAACTCATCTGCTGAACTGCACTCTTTGTGTCTGGGACACCAGTTCTGTCCTAGACACAACAGGGACAGATCCTTGGCAAATAAAGCAGTTAAAGACAGCCTTTTTCTCTGCTGTTGGAAGTTGAACAGTAATGCACACCAGCTCAATTTGTGATCAGTGCTGCTTAGGAGTACTGCTTTTTAATCTGAAATAATTTGGTGTGTAATGCACCCTCTCTAGAGATACTCCAAATTAAAAAAGCCAGCTAGCTGGAAAATAGAAGTCATTAAATATGAATTGTGCTTTTTTTTTTTCTTTTTTTTTTTTACTGGATTGTTGCAATTTAGGATTTACTAAATTGTTGGGAGGTTAGAACTCTTTACAATAGTTTACTTTCGTTCAATGAGAGATACAGTCTGTAAAATCCTTTAAAGAAGAGAGCATTTCTTTTTTTGTATTTATTCTGTCCTCTCAAAAGGTGAGTAAAGTAATGTCAACATCAGGAAAGTTTTGAGTCCAGGACAGAATTTTCAGAGGTGACTCCCTCCAGCCCTCCATCTGTGCCGAAAGCAGCAGGGGTTGCTAGGCTCTGGGGCTATGATGGGTCAGTTGCAAATCTTCAGTGAAGCAATATTTTCTAGTAGGCCAGTATTTCTCTATGGCTAATATGATGCCCAGTTTCAGATTGAGCCTGGAGACCTGCAAGAGTCCTGTCACTTCTGTAACGTTTTTAGTTATTCCCCCATGGGATTTAACATTTCTTCATGGGCTGCTTTCTAGAGAAAGCATAATGTATGGAATGAGTGAAAAGCAAGAGAGGGGAGAGACTCTAGGAAAAACAGAGGCTTAGAGGGGAAATTTGCTGTAATTCTCAAAAGGCTGAGGTTTATAAATAGAAGTATGGATGCAGTAAACTATTGTACTATATAAATGACTGTAACTATGGTAACATGGGAAAATGAAAATTGTAATAACATACTTGACAGCTTTCCTCTTAAATTTGCAAATAAATAACATTGGTACTCTTCCTGACTTATAACTCCAGTGTGAACAAGAGTCAGAAGTGAGAAGGGACCCAACTTTTCCTGGAGTTGAATAGCAAAAGGACAAACAAGTTTATTAAAGGAAAATTCTGACAAGTGCTGTGGGGAGGGGGGGAAGCTCACTTTGAGTGGAGAGGTGGAACAGAGGGTCTAGTGAGAATCAGCCCAACATAAACTGTTCTTGTCATTCTTCTGGAGTTCTATCTTCTCACCAGACTTCTTGTCTTTAGATGCTAAAAGGCATGAATAGCCTAGCCTGAATTGCTGGTGTTCAGGAAGCTCAGCTTTTAATTTGTGCGATTCTGCTCTTTCATTATCCTACAAATTTTTATCTCTATCCATGCTGTGCTAAAAGGTAGACTTGCTGTGGAAGACAATGACTGCTTCCATTTCATTGGATGTAAGCTGATTTGAAGAATTTTTCCTTTATTAGTTGTTTGGGAACCAACACTAATGAAAGTCTCAGTTGCTGTCTATTTTCCCTTAGGGGGTAAAATACTTTGTATAGTACAGTTTGTTTTGAGAATCGTGTAATGAATAACAGTACTCAAAAGTTTTTTTTTTTAAAACC